ATGACTCTTCCACTCTTACGGAATGGAATTTCTCCTTGGTGACCGACTGAAAAATGAGTATGAAGATCACGAAGCTATTCTTGGGTCTCATGCAGTAGCTGCACAAGTGCTACTGAGTAGCCTGACACTTAGCGCTGCACACTTCGGCATATGGTTTGGACCTTCAAAATTCCAAGTACTGTTGCAGGTTTAGGCTGATACACCACCGGTTTTAGCTGTCAGCAAACAGTTAGTGGAAATGGTTGATCGGCTCACTTGTAAATGTTGCTGCGTCACATCACTGAGAAGGTTACTTCGGGTATCAGCAAGACATGTGTGGCTTTCCAGAGACTTAGTGGTGTTGGCCATAGAATTGAAGACTGGTAGCTCGGGTTGTTCGGATGGCGGTTGAACTGTTCGCTGAGCTTGGCAATTTTGTTGCAAACGTTTCGTCATCAATCGTGGTGACATTATCAGTGCGTAGTGGTGGTGTGCAGTAGCGTAGAGGAGCCTCGGTGAGAGTGCGCTGAGCGTGGTGTGCGTTTGTTTTTATACTGCCGTGGTTGCCCGTGAAGACGAGCAATCCCATTGGTTAGGACTTCGGTCCGCGTTCGGCTTGGTTGATGGGCAGGTGACCTTGACCCATTGTGTTTCTGGCCTTTGTCTGCTTGCTCTTATGGGCGAGCCTGTTGTCAGTTCTGGTTGTCTAGTCACACGTTCCACCGGATTCAATCGATCGTGTTGGCGGTCGTTCGGCACTAGTGTTGTGTATACTGCGTCCAGTTCGATGTGTCGATTGATTGAATTCATTGTAGAGTACCAGGCTTCCAAAAACTCCCTCGCGTGCTTCGTATTTTCACGTGCTAGGATCCTTGTATTCTCCAGATCGAAATGGTGGCCTTCTTGAGCTTCATGCTCAGAAACCAATGAATGCGGATAATGTTTTCTGACGGCTGCCTTGTGTTCGGTGATTCGTGTACAAAGCTTTCTTCCAGTTTGTCCGAAGTCGTTTTTATCGCAGTCGCTGCACTTTATCTGGTAGACGACATTGCATTGGTTGGCTTGATTGACTTTTTGTTTGGGTCTTTATATCAATTTCCTTAGGGTGGCACTTGGCTTGTGAGCCACAGAGATTTCATGTGACTGTAGCAATCTTCATGTTAGTTCAGAGACGTTTTTGATGTAGGGGAGCACTATCCATTTGTCTGCTTGATCAGATAACTGATGTTGCTGAGACATTAGTTTCTTTAAGCTTCTTCGGATGCAATTTCTCGGTTAACCGTTGTTTCTAAACACTCGGTATAAGTGATTTTATTCCTCTTTCCGCGATTCGGCTGTGCTGCAGGGCGTTTCCGCTCTTTTGAACAGGGTTTGAATGCAGCTGTTCTTGTGATTCATCGGGTGGTTGCTGGGGTAGTTTAATGTCTGGTCCGCCTGTGTTTTCTTCCGATATACGCACGTTCGCAGACATCCGTTGGTATTCGTAGTGACGAGTACGTCCAAATGTGGTAACTTGTTATCCTCCTCTGATTCAATCATAACTTTGATATCCTCGAATATGCTGTTGAGCAGATCGTGCGTGGCCTGTACTCTCTTCCGCTTTACGATGTCAAACATGTCCACGTATCGTATTCAGAGGTTTGGGCTGATAGATGGCAGTGCAATGCGCTCCAATTTCTGCATTACGGCTTCTGCAATGAGCCCCGAAATTGGTGATCCCATGGGTATTCCTCTCAGTTGTTGGTACACTTGTCCATCAAAGCGGAAATAAGTGGTCATGCAGAGATTCAGGAGTTCCAAAAAGCTCAGGTCGTATGGTTTTCCTTGGGCTTAGTTGGTTCTCAGCTAGTTCCATCATGCTTTCTTTGGCCCATTCGTGACCGGTTGAGTGAAGAGTGCGGTGACACCGAAAGAAAGCATTATTTCATAGTCTTCTATTCTGACACTCCGCAGTTTTTGGAGGAATTATTCAGCATTGTTGATGTTATATTCTGATCCAGCAATCAAATGTTTCAACTTCCTCCACAAATCCTTCGCTAGTTTATATGATGGGTTCCGAGGAGGTAGACGATTGGTCGTAGTTCGACTTCATCCTTGTGTACTTTTTGGTAGTCCATAGAACAGTGCAATATTTGTATCATCAGCTCTCATTCTCCATCTCTCGGTGGCGGTGTTCTCGTTCTTTGTCTGTAGTTTCTTCAGTGTTGCCTTGATCTGGTTGACCAGTTCTGAACTTGTATCTTGATCGATCTGGCGCTATGTAGTTTTGTAGTATAGCACCTTTATAGCCTTGCTAATGTACACTTTTTTGTCCATTATCACTGTCATGCGCCATTTGTCCGCTGGTAGGTTTAATGTTCTCGTTCTTCTGTCGATGTCTGAGTGCATCCTGCTCCTCCTTGAATAGGGTCTGGGTGACTTTATTCCGAGTTAGCACTGGGACAACTGTCTGCCGTACCTGTTGCCGGGACTCCTCCGACAGTCCATTTGATTTTAATGCGTGTTCTAAACTAGCCAAGTAGTCTTTGGGGCAAGCATCTTTGATGTTAAAGTTGAGCCCATTAATCAAGACATCCTCCTCAGCTGCAGTGTTGGCGGCGTGAAATATTTTTGATCCATCCCTCACTACTAGTTTAGTCTTTTCTCTTAGTCAGTTTGTCAAACTTTGTGTTCAATGCAATCTTTCGTCCGTTCTTCGTGCTTTTGACTCGACATTCAGTTGCAGATTTCAGCGCTGTTCGTAGCTGTGGGTCAATAGTACTGAGGCAATTGGTGCTATTGTCGGTTATGGCTTTCTCATATTTGCGTAAGCGGTTGTGGGCATCCGTTATCATCATTTTGACCACGCGTCCCCGTATTGTCGTGCTAAGTTCCAGGCGGCTGGATGGTTTAGCGCCGGTCTGCGGTTTATGCTCGCTGGCAGCACGTTCCTTCTCAGGCATTCATGAAGGAAGTAGAGTTGTTCGCGTGTGCAAGCTTGTCGGCAGACTGGTTTCCCAACTATGAGCATGTAGCGTTGTATACCCGAATTGGTTGGCTATAGCATAGAAGGCTGGTAGCTCAGGTTGTTCAGATGGCAGTCGAACTGTTCGCTGAGCTTGGCAATTTTGTTGCAAGCGTTTCGTCACTACGTTTCGTCTCCACGGGCAACCACGGCGGTACAATAAACGCACGCATACCACGATCAGCGCACTCTCACCGAGGCTCCTCTACGCTAGTGCATGCCACTCAACTATGCACTGATGACGCCACCTCGATTGGTGACGAACTGTTTGCAACAAAATTGCCAAGCTCAGCGGCACAGTTCAACCGCCACTTAGTGATGTATAGAGACAGCGGGATATCAGGCTGTCAGTTAAAGGTAGGGTGTATTACGCTTCAATAAGGTTGTATTACTGTATGCATCATAAAGCTGGCCAGTTCCTGACGTAGACATTAAACGCTTGGTCGTGTTTGAGGACCGATGTTTACAGAGTACTGCTCACATGGTGGGAACACTGACTGAACAATGCTTAGGTCCACTAGTTAAGTTTGACAAGAAGTCTTCTGATGCTTCCCTTGAGTGTCTGCTGAAGCTGAACCTCCCATGTTGGCTAGATCATGTCCTGCGTATGCCCGTTGATCGTCTTCCTTGGCGTGCATCATATGCAGTGGGATAAAGGCATGAAGAAATTGACAGAGAGACTTGGTCGGTCTGGTGCTTACGCTCTTCGTGAATAGGGACTCCTGGATGCTTGTAGACCCTTACAGACATGGCACAGTCAGTGGCATTCCTGCAATCGGTTTCTTGCATCTAGCTGTTAAATCTCATTCCATCCGGATTACTTTCACGCACATCTTTCCTGATTCCAGTTTCTTTGTCTTCCCTTTGCATTTAACATTATTTTCTTTCTTTTGTTGTTTGTTGTTGATTTGGCAATGTGCGTCGTGACAACTGGATCCACCGCACCTCGGTGCTTGGACCATAGTTGTTCATCTGAACTGAACTCTGCCATTTGTAACATGACTGCAATGTTTGCGCGGTAACTACTGCATTTCTCTGTTTGTTTGCCTGCCACATGCTGCTGGTTCGGTATTATTTACCTTCACAGGTGGGTTACGTGTTCGATCATCCACTGGGTTGTGGCATACTGCATCAAATGCAGCACCGGAGTGTGGGGTGGCTTTTCGAGTGTAGTTGCGGTGAGCTCTGCTGCCATTTGTCGGATCATGTAAAAAATTCTCATCAGATGTATCAGATCGATTAGTTATTAGTATACTTACGATTGTTTACGTCAACATTTCATTTCTGTTGAGAACCAACATGATTAGGCAGTATTACATGCAGACAATGCAATAGATCAACCGTGCGTTGCACACGTGGTTCTCCTTGAAAAAATCTTTTACTGATTACTTTTGTTGTCAAAGGTGCTACGTTTGAAGGTACCTCGGAAGGTAGGCGCCACTCCCACTTTCACTCTCATATTTCCGGTTACCTGTCCGTCAAATTGCCACTTTTCTTTTCAACATTTCTGGCTGATGCTGATTGTGGTTGTAACGGCCACATGAGGTATGGTGGCTGGAGCCGTAACACTACAGTGCTCGTATCACTGCTAACAGATTGAACCTAGCCAGGATGAGATGTTACCACAACTTGTGGCTAACTTGCAATATAGCCACGGTACACGCACAATAGCTAGTGTTTCTACAGCACGCTAAGTGCTTCTGGAAATGCTGCAACCCTACATCGTTTTTTGCCTCATAGTTCCTCATTACCTCTGATCTACTCGCACTAGTTTTCCTTAATGTTACGGTCTCACATCGTCTTCGATTGCCTACCGCTGTTCGAATTCAATACGCTGCACCACAGTTAAATGTACGGACACGAAGTTTGCAGGTTTGTAACTTGTTGTTGATCATATATAGTACGAATGCGCCCTCAGCCATTTCAAGCTGTTCTTTGGTGGTCTGACTGAAGCTAGTACTGCTCAGTTCTGCCTCGTTTTTCTACCTATGTTTTTTGCACATCTTTCCCCACTTAGCTACAACTGGCTGGAGCACGATGGTCGACATTTTGGTACGCAACAGATTGTGGACCTTCAGCATGTGATCACGGTTTCCTTCGTTAAGCAACCCACTGGCTTAGTAGGTGGTGATTGGACATTCCGCATTTCTGTTTCCCCAAGAAACCGCGTAAGTGAGATATCACTTCGAATTACCGTTCTCTTCGTAATCACCTAACTTTTCTGGTGATTTTGGGTCTCAGTTTGCGGTGCTTCGAGAATGTGTGTCGAGCGAATGCGGAACTGCTTGCCTGTGTTCCCCTTATCCCTTTTAGCTGGAACTTGCGTTATCGCTTTGTCTGCTTACAGAGCTGGTTGGCCCACTCCTGTTGATCCATTCGTTTTGCCGTGTAAACTAGTACCCAAGACACGACGGTAACCTTATCTGGGGGGTTACCTTGGGTCCAATCCCTAATCGTGATCCTACATCTCTTGAGTTTGTGGGACTACTACGTTGTCGCCTTCCTGCTCATTCGCTTTGGATGGGCAATTCGGAGACCCACTTAGACTAACTCTATTTTCTTTCTGACTATTCCGTGGATTTAGTCAGTCCCGAGTACGAGCTTTCGCACTATTTGAATGCACGTGTACGTTTCGAGTTGGGTTCGCAGAGTACATTTCTGTTACAGAGTACACGTGAAAGGGCCGATAGGTGAATGGATGTGCTAAGCATTTTTACGGACTCACGGGAACTGGTCGGTGTAAATCGCCCTTATAAACCAATACACTCATGTAGTAGTGCCTTAATACTTTGTTTCGTTACTGATTTCCAAATCCACGTAGTGAACTGTTCTACTGACAATTAATGAGTAGGTTGCCTTTTATACGAATTTACTCGAAAGACTGGATGTTTCACTGCCAACCGAATTTGGCCTGAAATGTACAGATTTCATATTTATTCTATTTCTGTTGCTAAAGATTTCTGTTCCAATTTGTGAACTTACTAATTTCTTTCGAATCTTTATCATTTTGTTTTACTGTGCCGTTTTTGTGACGTGCTAGCGACGTTCATTATGGATTTACTGTTGTTCTGTTTGCGAGTCGTTTCACTTTTTCCTAAGTCCATCGCATTGTTTTCTATAAACAACGATTTTAGAAACACGCTTAATACCACGATTTATTCCGCCTATCGCCCTTACTTCTGCAACGCAGACCGTGCGTTAGTTAGGGAATCGGCCCGCTCCCTAACTCAGTAGCATTAACACCATATTTCCTTGTTCTTAATTAAACCATTTCCTGCTGGCGTTTTAAAGGATATTTTTTCAGATGATTTAAGTTAGTTTAATTACGTACTATTTATTTATTTATTTCGGAAAGGAAGACACAAATTTTCCATATTCTGAAATCACTTGGGCCAAATTAAGTTTGTCTTAATTGAGTCACTGGTTAAATCCCATTTTAAAAGATGTCCTTAGGAAACAAAATGGGGGTTAACTCTCTAATCTTTCTACTACTCTTGAATGCTGTATGGTCAAAGACCATATGCTATCTGCCACTGGTGGAATTACAATTCCGAGGAACCAGCCATATTTTAGGTTGTTGCCTGGGCCCTTCCCAACGTCAAATATAACAAAGTAGCCTTTCCCTTTGTTATGAGACACGGACACGATCAAAAAGTCACGATGGCGGCGGGCGGAAAACAGGCGTTTATCCAGTATAGGGTAGCCTATTTAAAAGAAATAAACACTGTTAATCTTCGAGCCTTCTCAGTGGGTCTTCTGTTTTTCGGTTCACCTCATTGGTCGCGTTCCCCTTTTATTTCATTGGGTTATGTTATTCCTCTTCGGTCGCTGTCTTCCTGTCTTGCGCAATGATCACATCTTTCGTGTTTGGTATCTGATTGGCCGTATTTCTTTAGACCGCTCATATTTGGCTTTGCACTCTAAAACTTGCCGTTAATAGCGATTCTGGAGTTGCCAGTGCGCGCTCTATGTTCTATTGTCCAATCCGGTTTGTCGGTTTCTAGATACATGTGCCACTCGTGATTCGCTGTCCAGCCATCGCTGTGTCTCCCGGTGGGTTCACGCGTTCTCTCGATCGAACTGATCTGCTGACTCCGGTAACCTGCGCTTAGGTGGTAAGGTCGAGCATACTGGACCGGTTTCCTAAACCCCGTTACACCCTTCACATAAAAGAAATGCTCATCTCTATACACCTACTTGTTATCACATGCGGGTGGGACGGTCTGGGCTGCTGACTTTATAAAATTGTCAAGAACCAGTGGCCGTCGCCGTCCTAATCAACCCCATTCGACTGCTGGTCTCGGCGTGATTACCACTACTATGAATGGAAACCTGCTTCAGCGAGAGAAATTATCACGTGCAGAGAATTCCATGACCCCTTGAGTACATTTTTTCAGCCTTCTGTAGAATGCGAATTGATTGACTGACCCTTCTGTAACCTAATTCAAAATCCTAGTGAATCCCAAAAGAAGTGCATGAGCATTTGTCATGTTTTTGCACGTATGCACAGGTTTTTACGACACATTCAATCATATGCACCTCCACTGCGTTTTCACAGCTTTGTTCTGATCAGTCACCGCTACTTTCTAACTGCTACATATCCAAACAATTACAAAATTTTTTGAAATTACTATTTTCAGGATGGTCGAGTGAGGTTGCTTTGCCTATTATTACTCATCGACCAACGGGCTTCCGTCATTGGTTGGTTGTACTTCACCTGTGTGCGATCTTCGAGGCAAGCACACAAGACACTAGCTTCGTGGTGCATCTATGGGCACGACGCCTGGGTTAAAGTACTGGCGCTCAATCTTCAAATTTCCTGCACGACCGGTGGTCGAACGAATATGGCTTGTCTGCCTTGTAATCCGGCAGTCTGTGTTGGGTCGGCGACCTTGCGTCATCTCCACATGTGATTGGTGGTAAGCGCGTGGCAGCGAATCGTCAGTATTGTGCGCCGGCGTACTGGACTCGTGAATGGTGTTGTTTACTTTACGGAACTGAATCTAACACATGCGGTCTACTTGTATGAATTCCAGTGGCCAGCCATTTAGATGCCTTTCGAGTGTTAATCACATAGTTTAGAAGCAGCGGCTGCATATATGGTATCTTTTTACTATATTGGCATAGTCCCCATAGGCGGTGATTCTGAGGACTTAAGGGACAATTATCTCGTCAACTAGTATCCCTCACTAAAATCAACCCTAAAGTGTTCCATGTTTGATCGAAAGTTGTAGTTATTTTTTGTTCTGTTGCTTCATTATGGTAGTGATTGACAATCCCACAGTTTGCAATCTGCTTAACTCTTGAAATCAGGCCCAACTCTCTTATAGTCACTATTAAAAAAGCTGACGACGATACTTCTCGTTTTAAAAGTGCACGATCCCATTACACGGCTTGGTTGAACAGGCACTGGTCACTCGGTTCACTTAATTTGGTCGCGGCAACGCTGCTGTGGTCACACCACCTAGAGAGCTAATGCGGGTGTCGAGTGCCCTCAAACTAATTTATTACTTGGGATGGCAAGTCATCGTATTGTATGTCAATAGTAGTTTCTGATGCTGTAGTGCTTCCCGTATGTGCTTCCGAGCCATGCCCATCGCACACTGAAAATATTAATCGACTAGTCGTCTTTGGCTCCTGGTTCGCACGACATATCGCCACTCGGTATTCGGAATCATTGAGTTATTCGGCTGGATTTGAGCCATCTGATCTAGTCGGGTCACGCCCTTGGCATATCCTTCTGTGAGCTATCTTGACGCTTGTTGTTTTCCTTTACGATGCGTAGTTGGGTGGAATCACTCGGTGCCTTATCACTGACAAGAAGAATACTTGGGCAGACCTCTACAGTGAGAATGAATTGTGTTCGTTCACTGTACGTTTTGTGTATGCGCTTTGGAGGCCTTTCTCTTCTCACTCTATAGGCGTATTCTTTTCCAGATCCCACACGTTCCTTTCTTGATTTTCATGTAACTGGGTGATCATGCAGTTTTTACTGTTGCTTCAGACGGTGATTAGCTCCAAACAGAACCACGTTGGTGTATGTTCAGCATTGGTTCTAACCGTTCTTATTCCGGTGCAGTAGTCTCATCGTATCTGTGCTCTCATCCGGTGATCTTGGTTAAATATACTCTCACTGCCTGAAGCTGCTAAGTATTTCATGAGTGAATTGCCATCTTCAAAGTGAGACTACGGAAACATCCGGATCGTCTAGTTTCCATTCCAAGTTGACTTCGTGATCGGTCTTCAACAAATTTTAAGGCTTTCTGTTTTTTATGCTGCTCCAATTATCATCCAGCTCATCAGCTACCGATATCATAGTCTCTCTTTTTCCTATTCTTATTCTACAATACCTTCTTTGCCTTTTCCGATTCAGACTCACCCTACACCACCACTTTTTGTTGTCGTATACTACTATTACCCAAACTCCAACGGGCATTACTCATTTGTTCCTATCGTGGACGGGGATGCAGTCATTGGAATTAGAGGTAACTTTGGTCACGCCTCACATTTTGACTTGTATTTAATACATATTCGTGCATTTCCGGTTGTTGCTACCACTACCTCATCGATGTTTTGATGAAATTGAGAAAGTTTTAATATTCGGATCGTAGTTTTCCTCTCGACCTGGTCAGTTGTAGCGAGTAACGTCGTCCACATAAGGAATGTTTTTGCATTTGGTTTGTCCTCATTCATGCTCTCACCTCATAATGCCATTTCATCGCATTTCACCTGCGCGTACCCGAGGACACCGTTACAAAATAAGGGTCCGCTTCATGAACAAGGTATCACATCAGCTTTGTATAGAACTTATGGAACTTATGGAAAATGCTCATCATCGTTCATCATTAGCTAGAGGTGGGAAACACCTCGGCTACTGTGCCGCAGTACATAAAGGAAAAGGAAAATAAATATAACAGTTGCATGCCAGCTGAGCTATCAGAAACGGTTGGGCATCGTTCCGGTAAGCTACTAGCCGACTACTAGGCAGCAAGAAAAATTACAACGTAAAATATTATTGCGCTACGAAATTAGATCATGGTTGGAGGGGATGAGGAGGGACAAAAAATCTCACAGCAGGAACGCCACTGAAGTCGGCTCTTTGCCATGTCAGCAAGTGTATCTAACCAAACGTGTTCATCGTCTTTTAGACCCCAACCAGGGAGCCGTGACGCTCCAACCGACGCCAGCTCCGTAATGAGAGCCTTCATTCCTCTCGACCAAGTCATCGCTTGGCCACCCCTCCTCTTCTTCCATCCACACCCCCGGTGAGCAAACAACGCGTGTTGTGGAAGTCGGTAGGCTGGCATGCCCAACACGTGGCCGAGCCATCGGAGCCTGGTGCGTGAAATGACGGTGCTGAGCGGTTCAGTTCCTTTTTCTGTGCCGTAAACAAGACGTCGAACACGCTCGTTACTCACGCAGTGTTCCCACCAGATGTGAGTCAAACTACGAACGCACCGATGGTGGAACGTAACTAGCATATAGAATACACTGCCAGAATCACTAATAGAGTCCGATTCTGTGAAGTGTTTTAAAACACATGTCGACGATTATTTCGGAAACCTGTGCTTTTGTGAAACGATGCTCATACAATACCAAAAGAATACATCTTATACCCGAAAATTATGACACCAATACGAATTCCTAACAGAACATGGACAAACGATTAACTGACTAAACACTATTGCTGACGATTAGCAATCAAATGCTTTTGACGAATGAGTACTGAATATTGCTTTTGATTTTTCATAATCCCTTAGAGTTGTACAGAAACCTTTCTACTTGCTCTTAAATACAGTCTCATCATCATCATTCCACATTAGCTAAAAACGAGAACCACACTTCAACTATTGTTGTTGTTCCCGCTGACAGTACGGATAACCGATGCGGTCACTCTGGTCCCGATACAGCCACTTCCAAATTCAGTAGACAAAGGTCTGTGGCGAAACTTGTAGGGAACACTCGGGAGACAGAATGTCAGGCATAATATGTGGTAAAAATAAATAGTTCATGAGAGAACGACCTAAGTGAAAGTTCCTGACGATAGCAACTACTAGATACGCAAAAACTCGCTTGTTGGCTGATCACCTAGTGTGTTTACGGGAGGGCTTCAAAGAAGGTCATTCAGGTTGGTCCAGTGCAAGGAGAAACCATATCACTGGCTTAGTCTCATTGGCTTGCCAATCAGCTACAGGCGGCATACAGCCAGTCTTCTCCGAGCTGCTCCAGACAGAGAGAGAGAGAGCTAGCTTCGATGGCTGCTATGGATGGGCCCGGGTAACACCGCCCTCGCGAAAAGTGACGTACGACTTCCTCCTGGGGTCCAGCTGCATTCTGAGCATGGACCACCGTATCCGATCAGTCCATCATCGTGACTGCAAGCTCGTTCCTTCTGTGGTCACCGAGCAAGGCTCATTAGGTGGCTCATGAGTTCCAGGATATATATCGAAATGCTCCAGCGGAATATCCAGTGGCAGCGATCGTTCACTGGTACCTACATGAATGCTGGAAGGCCGTAGCTGGTTTGCATGTTTGGTCCAAATCATGGCACCCACTCGAAATTTATACAGCACTTGTCCAAGTCTGCAGTCGGTCGAGCTTGTGGTCCAATGTGGTATTCCAGGACGATAGTTTCTGACCAAAACACTCTGTCCTGGATGAAATAGTGGCACTTGCGTCCTGTGCCGCTGATTAACGTAATTTTCCATTCTCACATTCATCTCTTGCGGAGCGATACGCGTTGGTAGAAGCAAGTTATTCAGAGTACGGAGTTTCCAGCCTAAGAGCGATTCCGCTGGGGACAGAGGATTTGGCACCTGGGGGTTCGGAGTTGATCTGCACAGTAGAAGGAAAACATCCAAATCTCTTGGATAGTTCCTTCCCCCCGCATCTTCAGCAACATCCGTTTAAAAGTGTCAACAAAGCGCTCAGCTTGCCCATTGGACGGCGGGTGGAACGGCGACGAGCGTAGGTATGTGATACCGTTCTGCGGACAGTATTCGGCGAACTGCAAAGATGCAAACTGAGGGCCATTGTCAGTAACCAGGGTCTCCGGTATATCATGTTGGGCAAAAAGTCTTCTCAGTACGCCAATGACTGCGCCCTTTGTTATGCATTCTATGCAGAACACTTCCGGCCACTTACTGAAGAAATCAACAACGATGAGATACTGTTGTCCATTCACGGGACCAAAGAAATCCGCGTGTACTCGCTGTCACGGTTTCGTTGACAACGGCCAAGAAGACAATTGCTCTTTCCTGGGTGCCTTGGTTACAAGCGCACATTTCGGACGCGATTTCGCAAGGTGTTTCAGCTCCGAGTTGATATTCGGCCAGTAAACGCAACTCCACGCAATCATTTTCATTCTGTTAATACCAGAGTGTCCACGATGAAACTGTCGCAGAATTCTTTGGCGATGCTCACTAGGGATAACAACTCTCCGCCGAAAGTAAATAACCATTGACGATGGATAATTCGTCTTTTCTCCGGGACAGGCTCTGTATTTCCCCATTTATATTGTCTTTCGGCCACTGTATAGTACGAAATCTGACCGCTTGATGTAGGACAGGATCCTGCATTGATGCATCACGTATCATTTCAAAAGTTACCGGAAGTTCTCTGACCGTTTCCAACAACACCTGATTCACTTCCGACTCTAGAGTGATTGCTGCAATGATAGATTATTCTTGTTGGCGCTGCTGGCTTTCCAATAACCGGGAAAGTGCATTAGCTTGACCAATGTCGTTTGTAGGAATGTGATTTACCATAAAGTCTTAGTCGAGTAATATAGTAGCCCACCGCTGCAACCTGTTTGCCGTGTAGACAGGGATGCCCGAGTTTGTTACGAAAATTGTCAGTAATAAGTGAAAACTTCCTTCCATACAGCATATTGTGAAATTTCTTTACAGCGAAGACTATCGCCAAGGCTTCTTTCTCTATCTGGCCATAATTTCGCTGTGCGGCAGACAGTGACCGGGCTGCACGCGCGATTGCCCTTTCTGAACCATCCGGGAACTTATGGGCTATGACTGCGCCAATGCCATAGTTCGAGGCGTCTACAGCCACCACAATCTCCAAAGTAGGGTCGTAATGTGTTATCAGAAGGTCGGAACATAGTAGCCTTTTTTGCCTCGTCCAATTAGCTCTGACATTATTCGAACCAGTTCCAGTGTTTATCCTTGGTCAGCAGGTCATTGAGTGGACCACGCAAGCGATGCATGTGCGGTAGGAACGGGCTGTACTGGCTTATGAGTCCTAGGTAGGACCTTAGCGCTTCAACATCTTTGGGCGGCGGCATCTTCTTGATTGCCTCGATGTTTGAAGGGTCTGGACGCTTACCGTTTCTGTCGACAACAAGGCGTAGAAACGTAATCGAGTCCATGACGAAAGTACACTTCTCGTCGGAGTCTGAATCCATATTCCCCAACACGGTCAAGAACTCGATCCAACTTTCCGATTAGGTCATCGGCATTGCCTCCGACAACAATGATGTCGTCCAGGTAGGCGGCTGCTCCATCAACATCTGTCAGCATTGTGCCTATGATCTGCTGAAAAATGGCTGGTGCAGACTTGACTCCAAACGAGAGAAGGTGATACTAGAACAAGCCTCGATGCGTATTGATGGTGAGTAATTCTCCTGAAGCTTCATGTATCTCGATCTGTAGGTATGCAAAAATTTACCACCATTCAATTTTACTAACAAATTATCTGGGATCGGGAAATGTTACATTTAGACCCGCAATATCGAAAATAGGGTACGTGAGAAATTGCGATGCTAAACAGTATAGACAACAAAAAACAAATGACAGACTGCTTAGTAACGCATTATGCTTCAAAACAAAGACTGTGTTTCTGGGGGAAAATGAGCCGGATTTGTAGGCATAACGAAACTCACAACACAAACGCCATTTAGGTCGGCTCCTGACCATATCAGACGTGCTCATCGTTCTGCGGTCCCGAGCCCGCCACTCAGGAAGCACCATCCGATGTTTAGTTCGAAGTGAGGACCCTTTGGAACATGTACATGCGAATCCAAGCAGCCACTTGTCAGCGTTGAGTATCTATCCCTTAATTTACAAGGAATTACCATTTTATTTTACCTTGTCCTTTAACATTTCTGTTTTCCCCTAGTTCTCTTGTTCTGGATCATGCGATAAAGTCTTAGGAAGCACTCCTTATGTGATCTTTGTTTGTTTTCTAAACATTTATATATAATATAATAACGTTAACTTTAATTATGGCTGTCGATAAAAGGTTGCTGAATTCACTCTTCAGGACATACTGCTCATCTGGGAGATCACCACATATTCTTCCATCCGAATAAAGAGGCCCTCCAAGTCAGCTCCCTCATGACCTGGGTTCCCAGTGAGGAGCAGATTTTGAATACAATGATGGCCGGCCTCGGCGTTAGGCGAGACACCGGGTTGATGACACTGATCGGTACCTTGAAGGAAGTGAAGAAAGATACCATCGCGAACGCGTGGTTTCACGAGATCACTGTAGATCCTCACACATCTGCAAATCCGTGGGATTCCATTCAACCAGACATGACCGTTATTGAGGTGGAATTTTCACAAACGGGGCAAAGCAATGGTCTTACTGGAGTGAAGTTTGATGAACGATTGAAAATGCTGTCCCTCAATTTCCATAGACGTTATGCTGAACGATTCCCCGTTGACTTGAACAAGTTCACTGAACGCCAAGTACGTTTCATTTCCAGGATGGCTTTTCTGGTCGATTAATTGTGTTATTACCTGGATATTTCCACTATTTGCTTAAACCGGGTTTGACTCTCAGTCGCCTAAGCAGTTTCCTCCCTTTTGATCCTGTTCATCGATCGTGGTCTTGAATTCCTTATCGCCCGACTTGCAAAGCTTATTTAGTTTTGTTTGCATTGTTTCTTCCATGTGGTCCCGAAATTATCTAATTGTTTGATCGCATCATATACGTTTTGCTTTCGGTTTCATTTCCTTTGATATTCTTCTCATGCTTACGTAGATCCTTCTTCTCACTTTATTCCTGATGGATTTTTGTTTTTCCTTCTTAGTCCTTAACAACTGCTTTTTGGTACTTTTTAAACCCTCTTCTTCCCATTTAGGTAAACCTTTCGAAGATTGCTGTTAGCAATCTGCTCGGTGGTCTGGGATACTTTCATGGCACCTCCCTCATACGATCAGATATCACTGGGCCGGACCCTGTGTCCAGTTGGCCCAGCTCTCTGTTCACGGCGACTCCATCTCGTTCGATGTTTCCAAGGGGTTTTCTTTGGGACGAGGGGTTTCACAGTTTGATTCTGACTCGGTGGGACTCGGAACTTGCCATGGATACCATCGGTTACTGGTTGGATTTAATGAACGGTGAGGGCTGGATTCCACGTGAACAGATTTTGGGTCTTGAGGCCAGATCCCGTGTCCCTACCGAGTTCTTAGTACAACACAACACAGTCGCCAATCCTCCAGCGCTCGTCCTGGCTGTGGAGGTGAGTGATTATCTTCGTATCTCTCTGCGGACTGTACCCAACGTGTTGGTGAAACAGTTGCAATTCTACAGTATCACGCCGCTACTTTCCTCACAGAATTTTTTCTATTTACTTTTTTGGCATTACTATGTTCACAGCTCGCGTGCATTTACTCACTTGTCTCTGCGTGCATTTTACGCTATCGTGTTTACCCCGGCTCCTATTTAGTTTTCTAGTTTACGAGCATGGCAAGCAATGTGATCCAATTCGTCTTGTAACGAAGTGCTTGAAGTAATCCACTCAAACGTTTTAGGCTCTTCTAGACGCAATGCCAGATTTCTCGGCAGAAGAGGCTGAACGCTTTCGCCATTGGTCTGCTCTGGTTCTTCCTCGGCTACACGCTTGGTACCAGTGGTTCAATCGCACACAATCAGGGCCTTTGCCTTTATCTTATCGGTGGCGTGGTCGGGACCCAAAAGAGACAAGGCAGCTGAATCCGTTAACACTCAGTTCTGGTACGTTCATTGTCTATAGTTTTCAGACACCCTCCGTTGCGTGGGTGTCGCTAGTCACTTAATTGGGAACATTAGCTGCCTTAAAACATGTCGTTCTAATCAAACTGATTTACTTTACTCTCCCCACCCGCAGAGAGGTTACATAATTCCCACGGCATGATGAGATGATGAGAGTTTTCTCTGTACATTTTCATTCTGTCCCAAATGGGTGACTTCTCAACTGCGTTGTGATTCTATCCCAACTTAGACGGTGCTGCCTCTGATTCACCTTTTCATCAGAACATCAGCGTCCCATTCTTATTTTACAGATGGTTCTTCAGTATTACAAATAAATAGGAAAATAAAATCTATTCTTAATTCGTATTTCTGCTCTGCACCGAAGCACACGGTTTGGCTAGTCAATGGCAAAAGTCATCATTTTTCAAGGGTTGGCCCATCATAGACACGCTTAGGATAAATAGTCGCATCAATTACCAATAAGAGTTCGGCACAAACATGGTCTCTATGTGCACGGTGATGCGATTTTTCATGCTGGTAATTTACCCACTCCATGCCTCGCAGCCCGTTGATGACTCCTGTTAATGTAGGTGTGGCGGTAGCCAGAAAACTGAGTTTGGAAGCGCAAGTCCTAACGAGTTGTTTCGCTACTCGAATTCTCCGCGGTGGGCTGCGACTTCTGGATTCAAACTTATCGCGCACCTTATTCTTATACACTATTCTATTTTTGATGCGTTCTCATCACTTCGCCTTTGATCTTTTCACCTACTAATAACAGGTCTGGACGATTTCCCTCGCGCTTCTCATCCATCCAATACAGAACGGCATCTTGATCTTCGCTGTTGGATGGCTTTTTTCGCTCGCATCGTCTCTCGTCTAGCGTCATTTGTAGCCCAATGCCTGCAAACTGATGATGGTCCCTCGCGATTGCAGAAATTGGAACAGACTCGTTCGTTGTCTGCGACATACAGTCGTTGGGCTGATTTACTCTTCGACCTAAATTCCCTAGATCGGTTGCATTGGTCTGGGAGCTCCAATCGTTACGCTGATTATGGCTTCCATAGTGACGCTGTTCGTTTGCAACAACCTGAACGCAATACCAAACAGTCACCTTTTGAACCCGAGGAGCCTGTAAGTATCAGAGTGCTTGTTTGAATGAGTTGGAAATCTGCATATTTACTCCATCTTGCACAATTTCACAACAAAACTTGCATCCATCCCCACGTCTATTCATTTCACTCTCGTAACAAGGAGAAAGAATTAAACATCTGTTGTTTTCGCTCGTTATGCATCTGTTGAAATCTTGGTCCCCTCGTTTACTTCGAAAAAGAAAGGAATGACATTAGCAGTACGCCGGTACGTCGTACCTCCGCTTCGCTGCTACGTGACCACTATCGGTCCCCCGTAGGCTGGTTGTACGGCGTCGTCATCCGCACCTACGCGTATTCGAACCGGTGATCTCCGGATTAAAAGCGTAATCCTTCCAGCCACACACCTGCTCTCGGAGGTTTTTATGCGGTTTACTCTTGAATTACTCATTATATACACGCAACTAAAGAATTAGGTACCAATACTTACATGATTCATTCCTATAAGGCTAGTTGGTTCATCTAATTTACCCATGAACTTATCTGTAGTCATTGGCTCTCCCTTATATGCGTGAAATTGGCTTTCGCCAAGTAAACTTCGAACTGCGAGATCATTGTTTTATTGTCCCACGGTCCGCTTACTCGCTTTCTGGTTGGTTTCTTGGCTAACATTTCGCGGTAAATCGAATCCCAATGCGTCGGTTTGCCTTGTATCTATTGATTAACCGATGGTGTTCTTCCATTAATGTTTGTGACTATAGACACGTTCTAATGATGTTTTTGGAACTATGTCCCATTTAGCCACTTGGTCAGCGCAGTAAGAAGACAAGTATTGCGATATGTTAACATTTCGACTGCTCTCGTCAATCCCAGGCGAAATACGCTTGTTTCACGTGTGTAATATCGGTTACTTCTTATACGTATTGCGCCTGCGACAGAGGAGGACAATTGAAATGTCGCACTAGTGCTTGCTGTTCAATTATCCGACACTAGTATTTCAGAATACCGAAGGTCTCAAACATCGTGCGCAGTTTAACTATTGTGTTAACTGTATCTGCCTCGGTCAGGACTTGGGCATCAATGATCAACAGGATCATCTGACCTTCGAAGGGCAGAAAAGTCTACGTGCATACGTTTCCATCGTGTTTCGATGTTACCCCTCCATGGTTGCATTGACACGCGGGGTGTAGCACTCCGATTCTCCTGAAACGCACGCAACTCCCAACTTTCGTCACTACTACTGTGTCCGAAAATTCCGTGTACTACTAGACAATGTAACACTTCATTAGTGGATATCTGCGCATGAATAGAGATCTTAGTTGCAGGTCTAAACGTAATTGAATTCGATCTGCTGAGTCATTCCGCGCTACGGTAGTTTGTTTAAGGCCGTGTGTTAATTCCTCGTTACGTTTGCGGTAGAGCGAGAGGTCCAACAAAGGTACGCCGTCAAATTTTGTGTAAAACTCAAGAAGTATGCCATCGAGACATTTGAAAATTTAACCGGAACTTCTAAAGATGCCACTATATCGAGGAATATGGTTTGTAGGTATCATAAAGCTTTCAAACAAGGTCGAGAAAATGTTGAGAACTAACCTCTTTTCGAAAGGCCAATCTTATCAACAAACGGTCAAAATGTGTAATTTGTGCAAACCGTGCTGGCGAAAACGATGATCGCCGTTTTTTTGACAGTCGTGAAATTGTACACGAAGAATTCATACTGCCAGGACAGATAATTAGTCAGGCACTCTACAAAGATGTCTTGGAATGACTTTGGCATCTGGTCTAGAGAGACCGAAGGGACATTGCAGATGATCGGTTGCTGCGCCACGATTACGCGTCTACTCACACTGCGCTTACATTTTGAAACTTTTTGGCGAAAAAACATCCCCACAACATCACAACCTTCCTACTTACCTGACCGAGCTCCCTGCGACTTCTATCTCTCCCCCAAATTGAAATTTAAGTTGATAGGTCATTATCATGGAATCGTGGAAAACATCAAAAGATTGTAACGGACGAACTTAGCACTCTTACGGAAAATGACCTTCAGTACTCCTGCGCTCGGAGAAAAAATTGTTAGAACCACTGTGTATCTTCCCATGGACCATACTTTGCGGGACATAAGTTGTAATTTCGGATGAATCTTTTTTACATTTAAATAAAAACTCAGTACACTTACTTTTCGGACACAGGAGTATGCCCCTGTCGAAATTAAGCCACTATACACAAAAGTTTGCTAGTGACTTCAGTTTAGCGACTGCAACATTTATCCAGGATAACTGATTGCGGCTTCTTAGAGGCTACAACCCGTGCTTCCCACAGTACACGTCCGTTATGGAGACTGAGTTCAGTTAACCAATTACGAAAAGGCATGCATTCATTGACTGTATTTTCTTGCAACTCAACATGAATGTAGCGTTTCACGTGTGCTAGAGTAGGGACCGTTTCTGTCTGTTTAGTTAACTGAAGAATTGTTAAGATACTGGATAGGACGAGTTCCTGTAGGGTAAACGTTTTGCAGCTAATTCCGGTAAAGGAATTCGACTGAAGGCATCAGCAACGGTGTTTTCTGGCCCGAGACTTATTGTGTTTAGCATGTATATGCAGAGCGACCTTTCTGGATGATGTCATTTGCTGAACCCCTTTTCGTGGCCAAAATGTGACACGAGAGCTATGATCTGTGCACATACCAAAAGGTCGACACAAAAAATATTTTATTCTGCACAATGCGAGATACGCCTACATAGGAATGATCATGGTGATACAAGCAAAGACTGGTAATTGTAAAAGTGACACAAGTTTATACTTAACATAGATCCATGTGTGAAGTGTGTATGAATAAATGTAGGTAAGAACGAGTGTGGTTGTGTGCCTGAGGCTGATGTTACATTCATGATGCTTCTTCGCCGCAGTTGAGCTAAACCAACTTACACTTAAACTGGGTCTTTTTAAGCTGGATGCATTTTATTCCACTTTATTTGGTTTGTTCTGCCTACCTGAATAATGTTCTATTCATTTTCCACGTTGCATACGCAACTTGTGCTTATCTTCGGTAACTTTATTGCGCTTATAGCATTTTAAAGTTACTTGTGGACATTCTTACTTATCGCGGATTCGTTGCTAACCAACTTACTTCATATGGTAATTTATTGAAGAGTTATGCCACCGTTTTTGTATGCATTATTGGACTTATTTTATTTTAGCTTGTCGTTTCAAGTGAATGGTTGTTGCTTGAAATCTCCGGTGTGGCTACGCTTGATGTGCATGTTGACAAGGTGCCTACTTGTCTCTTACCCGCTACCTCGTTCATACTGGCTCTATGAGACGGTTGGTCTTTGCTGGAGGGGACAGGTGCACGGTCCTGTTGGCCGTGTGAGACTCGAAGAGCGGTTCCATGCACTCAGTGTGGAGCGGACTAGGGTCCAGCCACCGCCTTGTGTGCGCTTGATTCCCCAAATACAGCGTGCTTGTGTTTGTCTGTGAAGGAGTGTGGGCCGGCTCCGTTGATGAAACGTGGCTCCCATCCACATGCCTCCCGGTCTTATTCCTTCGGGTTTACACTGGATATGGGGTGTGTGGATGGAGTTGTGGGTGGTGCAGCGCAAGCCATCCATGCTCCCTCTGTAGGCGCAGGCGTCCTGTGGCTAGTCACAGTGACAAACAAATCCAAAATCGGATGCCGCCAATCAATCATGGTTGTATTGCTTGAATTTGTGAATGTGACGCCTGCATTAGTGATTGATGTGAGGAGTGAAATGAAATCTCCCTACTGGATGACCCACTTCCGTGGATTGAGTTAGATCATCCGAATACGTAAGAGGTAGTGACTTTAGCTAGTGGCGAGTCATATCCGCCACGTCATGGTGTTCTTAAACAGACATATGTGGCTTTCTATATGGTGAACGCTTGTCAGGCAAAAACCCCCTACGCCCTGGAACACTGCCGCCGAACTATTTTCTGGAACCGGGTAAACCCGAACCACCCAGCTGCCACCGGGGGAGTTTGTTCGAATAGTACTGAACACAACCGCGAGTATTCCTCGATTAAGCTGAGAATAATTACCTTCTACATCCGTCAAGGTTCGTGAATTATAAGCAACGAGTCGATGAAAACCGTAGCATGTGCAGTAATATAGCTCCAAGACCGTAGGGCAAAGGATCGCAAGAAGGAACAATTGGCTCCTGTGGGTCGCTATGCACAAGGACTTTGGTAAATGCCAAAAGTTTCTTATCGGCGTTAACAGCACTTTCCTGAACTCTTCCAATTTCAAAGTTGCTTTTTGCGTAAGAGTATGTAATAGACATGTGAATGTAGTACTGCTGATTGTATGAATCGGGAAAACTGTGTGACTGCTTTCAGAAAGGACCTCAAATTATTCACATTCTTGAGTGCCTGTGTATTAAGTTGTGATCTAAGCTTTTCTTCTGATGGACGTAGCCCATCTTGTGACAACCGATATCCAAGGTAACATACACTTGGTACAAATAATTTACATTTTTCTTTTTCTTAAATAAGTCTTTGCAAAACTGCATTCAAATTGTATAGATGTTCACCACTGGTGCGTCCAATGATCAAGATGTCATCCAAGTGTTTGGTATATCCTTCACCAATGAGCCATTAATACGTTGGAAGATAACTGGCACATCACTTACTCCAAAAGACATGCGTATGTAACGAAATAACCCAAGATGTATGTTTACGTTGGTATAGGCACATGAGTCCTCGTCGAGTTCGATCTGCTGATAAGCGTGACTCAGGTCTGGTTGGGTAAGAAGTTCGCAACATGAAAGAGAACCATAGATGTCGTCAACCTTTGGCACTGGGTATCGGTCCGATTGTACTGTCTGGTTGACTGTAACCTTGGAGTCCAAATAGATCTCCATGGTACCATCGCTCTTCACTACAGTCACAGTAGGGGCTGCTAAATCGGAATACTGAACGCGATCACTTGTGCTATCTTGCTGTAGTCGGCGGAGCTTACTCTCGACTTTGTCCTAAAAAACATAAGGTGCAGAACGCGCTTTCCAGAATTTCGATGCTGCC